TATACTTAAAATTCTGAAATCTTTATTGGAAGAACATTGGATTATGCTACTACTTATAAGGCTACTAAATTCTTCTTCCATCTCTCCTGAAGGAATTAATACTATAACATAGTACACACTTATAACATCGTCTGTCTCTAGACAGCCTCAAAGAGTGAACTCAAGACTGAGCTAGGAAATGCAAACTTTACATTGACAAATGACTAACAGAATAGTAACTTTTTTCTCTTTTTCTGCTCAGGCGGCCGTTTGGAAAGAGTTACTGCTAGCAACTATTGGAGAACAGTTTACCGACTGCTGTGCAGCAGGTAAAAAAACAAATCACCTTTTAAGACTCTTGTTTTGTGTTTATTTTAAGCTGCTTTTCCAAGCGCTAGAATTCAATATTAAAATATTCAGTGCTCAACCTGTGTCAGGATACAGAAGCATATCCAATCTCTCCACTGTGAGAGCAAAACATGATTGCCTTCCTGTTTACTTAGTGCAGAACCAACTCTAGACTAGGTCCTTGCTTGTCCTCCAAAGGCCCAGGTTAATCTCTTGGAGACTCCCAGATTTCTCAGGTGCGAAACACCCACTAGGTGCATCTACACGTGTGCTTTTCTGCGAAGTAGAGTAATTAGCTCTGCAGTAAAGCATCACCGTCTACACGTGCACTGGTCTTAGGGTGCAGCAAACTAACTTTGCCATAAGATAGTACTGTCGGGGACAGCACTATCTTACAGCAGAGTCATTACGTGTGATTAAACACACATGTAGACGGTGACCACAGCCTTAAATAGTGCCCGGTCAGCTCAGCCCAGCCCAGCCTCCTACCTAACTCTCATGCCCCAGCCAGCCCTTCAGCCACCTGACACGTCCACCCGGAGCCCAAGACTGACCCCCTGTGACACCTGCCAGCCTAGGTCTGCTTCACCTCGGCTCAGATTGCTGCTGTCACAGGTGCACATGTAGATGCTGTGCCCAGGAGCAGTTTTCTCCCGCTTAAGGTGCTGTGGAGTTTACCTTAATTGCATGTGTAGATGCACCCAGTGAGTATTCAGTTGATTATTATGGTACCAAGATTCCCAGCGTCTCAAAAGCTGTTTGCTCAGTATATCATGTAATGTACCACTGCTGTTGAGAATACTGTATGTAACATGGGAGTCCTCACAACATCCCTAGAAGGCATTTTTCCTGAGGCACAGAGAGATTAAGGACTTACCCAAATTCACATAAAAAGCCTGTGGCACAGCCAGGAAATGAACCTGGTTTCCTGAGTTCCAGGTAAGCACTCTAGCCACTGGACCTTCCTTCCTGTTGCCTGAATCAAACGAGCTGATGTGACATACCTACTTGAAATGCCTTGCCTGGTAAATGGAAAACAATAAATAATTCAGACACTAATACATGATTTTGTTCAGCTCCAATATTTTAATGAGGATGGTATTTTCAGACTCAATCTAATTTCTAAAATCTCAACCTTGAGACTGCAGCCGTTCAATTTGGGAATGGACTGCAGACAGGTTATCGGTTATACCTTGCATAAGAAGCATAATTGCCTGTCGTATCTCCCAAGCTGGTAGGAGGCTCCCACCATTTTAGATGATGAGGTTGGATTACAGAAGCTGTTTAGTTACCAAGGAAGACAAATGACTGCAGAGCTTGTCAATCTTTTGGGCTCAGAAATGAATTACTAAGTGAACTTACCTCTTCAGCAAAGAAATGATTACAGATTAATTTTAATGGCCATATTTGTATGTCCTAAGTGCAACCGTCCATTTAAACAGTTTGTTTTATGTTCCTGAATTTCCCTATTTTGAAGTGGTCCATTTCTGACTGATCATTCAATAGAAAAGAACTAGGTTTCTTAATTCCACAGAGCAGTTTAACAAAGACTTCTCACACAAGTAATTTCTCTCCAACTTAGTGCAGTAGACAGGCAAGTTGCATTTATCTCACTTTTAGTGTGTTTAACTTTGGTTGTCTTGGATTATTTCCAACAAGGGTTTGCTGAACTAATATCCCAGATAATATACTTCTCTCACTTCGCGTTTTACTTCAGCATTATAGGAAAGGGAATACATGCTTCAGATCCTTTGGCAGCAAGAATCATTTAAAAATCTCTGCCAATTTGGACCTCTTTATACATAGCCAAGCTAATACCAGGAAAGAAGGAAGTATTTCTCCCATTTACATTCAGTAATTCTTTTTAAGTAATTCTGTCCCAGTCGTGGTGTTTTAGCAATGGAGGACAGTACTGGGAATATTGGCGGGGGCAGTGGTAAACCGATCTGTGTCTCATTAATTTATTTCCACTACTGTTTGGGAAAGCTCAGAGAGGCAACAGAACAATAAAATTTGTGTTTTGGGGAAATTATTGTCTTGGTCCCTACCACATGGTATCCAGGTAAAGTGCTCCACACACCATTGATAGATTTTTCTAGCCGACCGCTTTCATTTTTCTTATTACAATAACCTGATACAATACAATACCATACTTCTAATACAATAACCATAATTAAAGCTACTGTCATAAATTGTTTGAGTAGCATCATTGCCTTGTGAGGTTCCATTTCCAATAACTTCCCCAAAGAAAAATATCATCCGTGAATTACATTTTCACAATTGCTTCATTTCCTTCAGTACTGGCATTACCTTAACTTTTTGGTTACTCTCTTTCATTCACTGGGCTAGGCTAACTTTTGGACAAAGTGTTTTACAGGACTATATATAATCAAAGTTGATTTCCCCACTTTTAAAAAATTCACTGCTATTTTTATAATACTTGTTTCTCTGTACAGCTGATGAAGTAATAGGAGTTAGCGTCAGCGTTCGTGATCGTGAAGATGTTGTTCAAGTTTGGAATGTGAACGCATCTTTAGCGAGCGAAGCAAAAGTATTAGAAAAGATCTACACACTTCTGCCACAAACGTCTTTTAAAGCTGTGTTTTATAAGCGTAAGTACTCTGCACCGATTTATTTCTTCCAGCTAGGATTTCCGGTGTTGTTAAATTGTTCACAGCTGAGATGTATCCAGTAGAAAAACTGTGTTCATTGACTGAACTTTTTAGTATTCAGAAATAAGTAGTTATTGTTGCATTGGGAGTTTTACTTTCTAATTACTAGGGTTTTTTTGTCTCTGCCCAAAAAAGTAGCATAGCAGGCAGTGAGAGTTCTGGATCAAGCCAGGTGGTATATATAAGAATATACTTAGGATCAGCTCTAGCAACCATCTCTTAAGCACCAGAGGATGAGACATTTGTAATAAGCCGTTGTTTGGAACGAAGCTCGTTCGGGAAGTAAGGGCACTTGCTCATTCTACTGAAATATTAAACTTCCTCGTTCAGGCATGGTATATCATATCAATGATAAGAAGTTTAAATCTTTGAACATATACCAAAAAGCCCCTTAAACCTTAGCAGGTTCTTACTTAGTTCTTGTTGACATAGTCAGTTTAAAAGATGTTTTTCCTTTTTCCCCCCTTAGCCCATAAAGAGCATCATGCTTTTGAAGGTCGACGTGGAAAACATTAACTGCAGTCAGAACCAAACTCACACTTTGTAATCTGGTTTTTGGAAGTGATTTAAATGGGGAGAAGCATGGACAGAAGCCTTTGCAGAAGCATCACAGGAGCTGGCCAGTTTCCATTTGTCTCTGAGGCTTTCAATTTGGGCAATTCTTACTCAAGACAAGGGAAGATGTTGCCTTGCTTACTGAACATGACATTCATTACATTTGGTTCTCTAAATCCTCAGTTTAATTTCTTGTTGAAACAAAATATATTTGGCCACTTGGTTTTCAGTTGGATTATATTTCTAGCCCTGTTTCAGTAAAGTTGAAGACGTTTGTTTCTTTTGAAGTAGTTGTACTGTACTTAGTTACGTGCAAACATGCACAAACATGATATGCTGCTTTTCCTTGACTTGCTGTAAATAGAGGAGAACTCGCTTGGTGGAATATGTTTTCAGTTTTTGTTTTGAAACATTCCTATCATGTTAAGATGTACTTGCTGTCTGTGTCCCGAGAGAGAGAAATTGCACTGCATTATTCTAATACGCAAAGTAATCTGGTTTTGCACTGACAATAGCAGATATACTGTACAAGTAAATAATAGCGTAATCACTGAATGAGAGAACACATTTGAATTGGGCTGATGCCCCGAGAGATGATGCTAGCCAGTGACTTTACCTTGGGTGATTTCAAATTAGCACTTAATTCAGACTAAAATGAGAGAGCTTGCATCAGGAAAGCCAGCACCTCTCATTTTGGAGGGCATGATGTTTTAGTAATTTTTGTATGCTTCTTAGGAAGTGTTTCTGTGCATCTGTTAAAAAGTTTCACAGTTCATTTTTAGCATGTTTTAGAAAGTCAGTCTTGTCCTTATGCTGCTTAGATGAGATTAGACCCCAATTTACACCCGCAAAGGTCCCTATCAGAATTCTTATCAACTTCAGTGCAAGCAGGGATGGCCCCAGCATATTTCAGTTCAAGCTATGATAACGCCTTAAGTCAGTTAAGGTGGGGTTTGGCCGGAGCAGGGGGGAAAAGAGGTTGTTTTTTGGGGAGGGGAGGGTTGTTTTTACAGCATGAATGTGAATATTGATAACATTAAACTTTGAAGTGTATTTGTCCATATTAATGGCGATTTCAACATGTTTTATTATAGTACCAAAGATTTTATTTTTAGTTTCTTTTACAACAGGAAGCTGCCGAGCAGAAATGAATGTGCACTCCGCTGATCATTACTTCACATTTAGTGTTTTTGTCTGGAAATTGTTCAGGTTGCACTGATTTCCACATATCTAGCATCTCAAAAGGCAGCCATTAGAATTGAATACGGTGAAAAATAAAATTTTCCCTTTTTAATTTTTTTACATCATCTGTATTTATGAATTAAAAGTTGTGCAGTTAATGAGCATTGCTAATTAAACAAGTTTTCTAAAAGCAAATGCCTGGCTTCAGTAATTGCTTTCTAACATTAAATATTACTGGACCCGCTTTCTTAAGCCTAATCATCATTAAAAGAAAACTGTTCTCCAAGAAAATGTAATTTGGAGCATACTTCAAAATATGTTTTAAAAAATCAAGTTTTTTTTCTACTAATGCAGGAAAAAAGGACATGTTGAATATTAGTCAGTACTTGTATGTTTTCAGTGGCAACTCTGATTTAGGGTTTCTTCTACTATAAAAAATTTGTGAGTCTTCGTGAACTTTTCATGAGTTTCAGGTTTTAAAGTAAAAAGCTTAGAGGCTTTATGTTCAGTTTAATTAACTGGTATTTACAGTTCAAACAGTTTCAGTGTCAAGTCACAGTTTCAGTTTCAAGTCACATTCAGTGACTTGAATGTGAGATTTACCAGTTGCTCTTATTCATTTAAATTCTTTTTTTACAACTGTGCATTTCTAACATATACCTAAAACTGCAGAGTAGTCATAATGTTGAATCTGATCCTTTCCTTATTGCTCCCCAAATTGCCCGAGAGCCTTAAATTTCTTTCAGGAAATTCTTTAAAAATGTACTGTTTAATTTGAAATAGGTTTTGAACTACTTGAACTGTTTTAAGTTCTTTCTAAGGATATGCCTGTGCTGCAGCTACTACAATATAGATCACAGGTTCTGCAGACATACCTTTGCTAGTGTTAATTTGGCAACCTTGGTTACAGTACACATTGAAACTATGGCAGAATGAAGCTTAGCATCAGCTAACCACACACCTGTTTAATCAGCTTCTTAGGTTGGTTTTGTAACCTACACTGCTGTATAGCTGTACTGCTCACAGTGCCCAAGCTACCTAGTTTAAAGCTAGTTTGAATATGCCTACTTGATCTGCAAGGCAAGGTTCGTGTTGCCATATTTTGCATCTCAATCAGGGCTGTGCACAGTCCATTTATGCCAAAAAAATCCAGTATGCTATGCTTGCAATTCTTCTTTGATTTCTTCCCTGGAAGAAATCAATTAGTAACCACATTCCAGTATTGAATGTTTAGGCTGGCTCTAGGTACATTGAAGTTACTAACAGAAAATTTCTTTTGTATCTAATTAGTTAAATTTATTACAGATTACTGTTGCTTGGATTGTTCTGAGTACCCACCCTAGAATGGGCCAATTATTCGCTAGCTGGTGGATGAGCTTAATTTGCGAGTGTGGTAATAATTATCATTACTTAGTGTCTGTCAGGTTGATATCATGCAAGATATTTAGTTGGTAATTCAGGATTTGGTCCTGCGTACGTCACATACTGCCAGAACAGCACAATGCTTCTGAGCATGGAAGTGCCTTCGGTCACTGAGCAAAGAAACTCTGGAAATTGGACATTCAGCTATCCTACAAATGGCATGAAATATGTTGAGTTTGCCCAGAACACCCAGATGAAATTTAGGGGAGTCCTTGGTAGCTGTGTTGGTCTGAGACAAGAAGACATACAAAAACTGGAAATCTTGATTCCAAATGATACCTTTTATTAGACCAACTGGGAAATCGCAAAGACAACTGGGAAAGGACAATTTTCTTGCAATTTCCCAGTTGGTCTAATAAAAGGTATAATTTTGGAACCAAGAGTTCTAGTTTTTTGTATGTCTAGATGAAATTTATGCTTTTCTGATTTTAATATACTGGTATCTACCTTCAACTTTCATAACCTTCACAAACCAATTTTGTTTCAGGAACTGAAAATTATAAAGAAACCTTTAGCACTAAAATGCAATGCTTGGACTAAATCATATGCTATACACCATAATTAGGCTTAGATCAAAGTCCACACTGTACATCCACAGGACAGCGCTGAATTATATTTTTCTCTGTGTTTTCATGTTTGCAATACTCAACCTAGAGACGTCACAAGATTTGAAAGTCCGATCGGTCTTGAATCCAGAGATCTGCTCTAATTAAAACGTCACAGCATCTCATGTATTCAGCATCCCGCATTTCAAAATGGCCACGTGGGGGGGGCGCTTTAACAAAAGCCTGTTCATCGAGCTTTAGTTAAAGTGCCTCCAAGGCCCTTTTGAGACGTGAGATGCTGGATGCATGAGGTGAACATAATGACGGTAGCCCCGGTGTCCTTACTCAGATTTCAATGTGAATAACTTTGCAGACTTAGAACTTCAGCAGCAGGTATTTCTTCCAAACTGGGCATTGAAGTATTGGGTAGTATTGCCTCAAATTCTTACACTTTTCATTTTCCTTTGGGCTCAAACATGGTGAAGGGAGAAAATTGTGAAACGCGTTGGGTTCTCTTCAGTAGGAAGCACTACATGTACACAGTTATTCTGGGTTTAAGTAGGGCTGTGCTAAGATTTTTCTTCTCAGAGATGAACTTTGAACCTCCTCTAATTTTGTGCTGTGAGTTTTGAAAGCAGTCAGTGATGTCTGAGAGACTTGCATTGTTTATAGCTGTTTGTATGGTTTCTATGCAAAAGACTAGGGTGAGGCCCAGTGGAATGCGGCCATGAAAAGTAAATGTGCATTAGTTGTAGTAGATGCAATAGGAAGTGTAAAGTGCACAGAACAGAGAAATCTGCAGATCCAAGGGGAAGTATTCCTCGATAAAGAAAGTTCCCCTTATTAGTTTATAGTTGTTTGATCTGTTGTTTTCAAAAGCAGGTTTGGAACAGATCTCACCAATTCCATTTATTACCATTAATAAAACAAATCTTCTATATGATGTGCATCTTGCTCAGTCAACATCCTACTTTTGCCAAGCAATAGGTTTAGAAAAAAAAAAATCCTTTGTATTTTTCATATTGCAAGGTCAACTGGAGGATTTTAAAGAGAAAGGTCCTCTTAAAACTAGGGGTGCACCGATACTGATCCAGTAGCTGTTTTACAGGAATGCAGCCTGGCAGATTGGAGAGCAGCATCCGTCCGGTAAGTCTGTGGTGGGAAAGCAGTATGGGGGAGGAAGGGGTATGGGGGGGAGGCAGATCAAGGCCCCCACAATGAGGGAGGGAGTGGGGCAGGGGCAGGGGCTGCCCAGCCAGAGCAGTGAATGTTACCCTAGGAGCCAGACAGGTTGCGGGCAGCTCGTCCAGGGGATGCAGATGTGGGGGGGAGCGGCTCCCTGCCACTGTGTATACCCCCAAGGGAGATAAGTGCCCGCCCTGGATTTGTGTGCGGGGTGAGGGAGGGCTGCCCACTGTGGCGGGCTGCCACCCCGCTCTCCAGCCCCTCCCCGCCCCAGACGAGCTGCCCATGGCTCCGTCTCACCTGGGGTCGCATTCACCACCCTAGCTGGGTAGTGCCTGCTCCTGCCCCACTCCCTCCCTCACCATGGGGGCCACAATCTGCCCCCCCATGCCCCTTCCCTCCCCCACAGATTTACTGGCCAGATGCTGGTCTCCAAGCTGCCAGGCTGCATTCCTGGCCACGTGCACGCTGTGGCTGCATGCATGCACGTGGCATTTATCGGTGACATAATCAGCTGCACTGGCCAAAAGAAGCCGAATGCCAATAATGTTAATTTTCCTTTTATCAGTGACGACCTGATAGGCAACCAATATATCAGTGTACCTTTACTTAAAGCACAACTGGAGAATGTTATTTTCACAAAGCAGCTTGGGTGATCGTTCTCTGTGCGCTCAAACGTGAAAGTGACAGATCTTTTTTTTTTTTACAGGAGGAAAATGTTTTCAGTTGGAAATTGTTCTTTTCTTGATCATCTTTCTTGCATTATTTCTCCTAGGCATAGGAGTGACAAGGAAATTAGAAAAATGGTGGAGTGCCCACGTTCTGATTTCAAAAAATATTGCAATCTGAGCTCTAATTTAACTCTAATGGATCTTTTCTAATCTGACGAGTTTAATGAAAAATGAATTATTATGGGACTCTTAAATCTACCTGAGAGAGTTGGTATGTACAGTACATTGTGTGCATGGGAAAGGGACAATGATAAGATTAAGTACTTTTGTGTAGTTTCCAAAAAACGAAGAGGCATCTTCCTGTAGGTTGGGTAGTTGCTAGGCTTTAGGGACACATGCACTTCGATTATAAGTTCCTTGAGGTAGGAACTACCTTCTACTTTCTACAGCACTTAGCATTTATGGGGTCATGTCAGTAACTCGCATCTCTGAGGTGATACTGTATCCCCCGCCATTGCTTCTTCCTGCCCACCTGCCAGCTGCTCCAGCACCACACAGTTCCTGGCTGCATCACCAGGACTGCAGGATGCAGCAGGAGCTGGCCTGGTCCAGCCTTGGGGACTGGAGCGATCGCCAGTGGTCTTCCCCTCACCAGCGTGTTCTTAGCTGAGTTGCACTCTTGGGTGGAAGGAGGCTGGGCACAGTCCTAGGGTCACCAGGCCAGAAACCTCTGCTAGGCAGAGGCTTCTGGTAGGGGGCTGAGGGGAGGGCAGAGCCAGGCAGGCTTTGCTGCTGGGTCCTGCCACCAGCTCCCCTGGGGTCCTGTTGCTGCTTGTGCCTTGTCATCTTTGACAGGCAGCTAGGGACAGATAATTAATTTTCTAAATTTTTTAGGGGCCCCACGGTTCGGATAGAATGGCCTGGTGCACTGGATGTGGCCTGCGGGCCGTATTTTGCCTGCCCCTGGTCTATTGAGTAAATCAAAGGCAGGTCAGCAATCCAGGTGCTATCTTTAACTTAGTTAGCTTGGGAAGAATAGCAGTGAAGGTGCAGCTGCCCCCTGAGTAAGTTGCCAGGGTGCCCAGGGGACTTGCACTGCCACCTGTGCTACAGTAACTTTGTTCCAATAAGTACCCAAGCCAATGGTAGCTCGCTCAGGATCACCTGTCCATGCTGTAGTCGCACCCTCAGCTGTACCATAGGCACAGCCTAAGCTTTCTAGACAAGGACTGTCAAGGTACTGGTGCTGCTTAAACACTAAAAAGAAGATTCACGAGAACAGCAAGGCAGGTTCATCCATCGGCAATGGCAGTGTAGAGCAGGAAATGACGCTGCCCCTTGCAAAGTAATCTGTGTTCTTCAGCACTGACAG